AACATAATAAACGAACTACATTATTTCATTCTACAAATTTCAAGTCAAGGCATGAAATAACATCCTAGCGAGCATTAGATAGAGATCACTAAATTTATTTCAGAATTAATCGACATGATACAGCAGATGCGAAGGTATAAAGTCTGTACACGGTTTTCACTCATTCATCGAACATAAATAATATACCTTTCCGGGTATGCGCTATTCTTGTCAGCACTGCTGTATGGATATAATCAGTCTGTGTCATTCAGGTGTTTGTTGCTTGCAAGTTTTACAAAACTGTAACATGGTGAATTGTATAGTTCATTGGAAATCTCTCCGAATTTCTCCTATCTACCGAGAAGAAGGGAACTTAGCAACATACATAATCTGCGGCGCGGAACTTCCCTCGCCAATGTAAAATCTCTGCTCGCTTCAAACATGGAAATAGCACGGCAATCATTAAAGAAACATGATCAAAGTGTACCTGATCGACTAGCTTGTCAACTATGCACTCTTAATGCTTCAGTTTCTTAGGACTGAAACTTTTAGTATCCTTTCCTGAACGCTTCTTAAAACAAGTAACGCGCTAATGCCCACAGAATGCTGGAATATATCGCGTGACTTAAGTTTACCCAATGTGTGGTTGGCGGGGGGGTAGGGGGGGTAGGGGGGTAGATTAGATACAAAATAAACGACTTGTGAAGAATTAGCTTGCGTGGCCGATGCACAAAGGGAAGAGAAAGGGCAAAGTTGATGTAAGGGCAAAGTGTGATCGCCAAGATTTCCACCCTGATCCTGATCTTAAAATACGCACTGGCGTAAATGCCGCCTTCCCACCCCTCCCCCGTCGTGCATAAGGCATGAAGGTTAATAAATAATGGACAAAGTTCACTCGTGGTCGCATTTAACCAACAAATAGACTCAAAATATATATCGAGATGTGCTGCTTATAAACGCGCTTTTTCATATAGAAAAAAATAAGACCTTCGTCTTCTTGAAGGCCTCGATGCTTTTTTGTGTTGTTATATTTTAAGGTTACTTTATTCCACATAAAAATCACACGCTTCTGTAATGTTCTTAATACTTCTTTACTAAGCTCAGCATAGCTACAATCCTAAAAAAATTAACTCTTCTCTTTTATATAAGGTATACTCAGTATTTCCTTCTAATCTGTCCAGACTTAAGTCCACTGTAATTCATACTACTGTACATTATTGTAATGTGATCGATTCTACGACTCTACCATTTCTACTCTTCTCTTCCTTCATCCTCACTTCTTCTCTCTTGGCCTGTTCCATCCTCTCATCAGCGAAGACGAGCGAAAAAGCGAATACGCGAAAAATGGCACGCGCGTTAACTTGCAGGCAAGCTGACGTAATCTGTAGACGTCTCCCTGGTAACCGCAACCACCGTGTTCTGCTTGCTTCCACATAGCGGTCCAACGTCTGTGCATGTGTGCAGGTTGTAATTACTACGTGGAGTGCTGTCAGAAACGAGTTACACAGAGCCTCACATGCAAGTGAGTCGAGGTGTTTTGCAACCGTCTTTGTTTTTGTTAAAGATTAAAACGGAAAGGTGAATCAACAGGATACCCGTACTTGAATAAGTTCCGTGTTCGAAAATTGTCCAGTTTTTTTTTTTTCTCCACAATTATTTTCTTCTACAGATTACGATAGACGTTTCAATTTTCTTTCGCTTATTTTGCGACACAGGAGCTGCTTTTCATGTTTTCCTTAGGAATGTTGCGCGGGAAAATGGCGCGCGGCCTGCCAGAATTGACCCCCTCGCGCACACCCGACGTTTGACCGCTGTGTTGCCTGCTTCCCGGCCACCACGCGATTATTATTACATTCTGGGAATTAGTCATGCAGCATATCCAGACTACTTAATAAACGAGGTTACGACGATATGAATTTTCTTAATGTCATACGGCTTTGGCCTTGTTTCCAATAACAATTTTTTGGCAACGAATCCATTACCGAAAATATTCACCAAAAGGTTTAAACTTCCAAATCCATTGCTGCTCGCTTGAGAAACTGATTTTCTTCACAACGTTATTGGAAATGAGCAGCTTTTCTGGAGAAAAATATCTGCGACATGAATTAAAAGAGGTGATTATCATATCAGGTACTCAGCTTACAAAACAATTGACGGCGATGCAACTAGATTAATTTCATAGGATGGGTCAACTTTCCTTGAAAGCATTCCGTAAGCATATACAGTAAGTCTCACTGTTAAATATAATTTTCAAACTTTATTGCAAGAGACAGTTTCGCTACTTTTTCATGAAAGTCTCCATCAATTTTAGTCAGAGTCTCGTTCTCTCTTTATAGGCAACTCCCGAAATTACATACCGAGACCCAAAATCAATTCGCAATCGGCCTATAACAAAAGCATGCGTAATTCAGGTAAGGACTTTGACTTACTGAACATAGTTTGATCATCGGATGTTTGAGACATGCGCATCGAGTAGAATACGAATTCTGTTTCTTGGATATTCATCGTTTAAAATGTACCTTCGACATTGCTACAACAAGAGCAGTATTTAAAGAGGGTCCCCAATGGGGTTCTTTAATCCCGCGATCCCGACTTAAATTTCATTCTTAATCCCGTAATCCCGACGGTGCATACCTGCCAATCCCGATCCCGATCATAAATTTTTGTTCTTAGTCCATTGATGATTTCCTCATCCAGCATTGATCCGTTGAAGTCTTTATTCACCGTAAGGCGTACGTTTATCTTTTCTCACCCAAACGATATCGTTAATTTTAGAAGTTTTAAAGTTTTGCACGAATAACGTACGCTAGTCACGGTGACGACTTCCTTCTGTTTAACTTCTATCACGCAAAAAAATATTAGTAAAGACAGGTCAGTATCAAAGAAACGAATAACAATGTCACCAAGTGCATAAAGAAAAAGGTGACGGCAATCCTGTTGCTTCCATAACAAGGGAAATAAAGAAAATTCAACTGAATACAATTCTGCTGTTGAAACAAATACTTCTTCCGAAGTCTCTCGTTCCAAAGAGAGTGACGATCATCAAATGCGGTCTCGTCATCCGGGATTGACTCATCCGATTATTCATCACTGCTGGGGAATCGTACTCTAACATCTCATTTTCCTCTTCGTCTGTTTGTTTTGCTGCTCCTCGAAGTCAGAGAGTTAGAAGCTGAGCGGTTCACCCAGCTGAATTTCTCTCTAATCGAGGTACAACGGGACACTTCCAGTTTTTGCCATCTGACGCGCTGCTACACCAAATGTTTGCGCTCAGTCCCTCATTTTCTGTTTTTCTTTGGTGCTATCGGAACAGGTGATAACATTTGAATACCTGAAGGGCCGAAACGATCATGGCATATTCTGGTACAGGATACCAAGACTTTGGATTTGAAATAATACGCCACCCACTGGGTTGTCCCCTGTAAGCCTTCTTTGGCTGCATTTCCAAAGTTTCTTGTGCAATTTAACACCGTGCAAAGTGGATCTTTGTAACAAATACACAACCAAGTGATTGCCATGCGACTCATCAGGTTAAAAGCGTTTGTGGAGAGAAGTGAAACACGATCCCATAAAATCAGCTTGTGGGAGGCTAGCCTTTTGGACTTTCACTTATATCAGTTTCTTTATAAATTCTCGTCATCGGACTTCCCGGTTCTCGGTTCGGAGCATTTAAGTGATTGATTCCCGAATCCCACCCCTCAAAATTTCGATTCCCGTGTCTTGTCCCGCATCTCGCTCCCTTCTTACTCCCAGATCCCAAAAAAACCTTGACCCTCTATAAATCCTTTGTAGCGATCATCTTATGAGCACCTCTTGATTAAGATCGGAGCGTCGAGGTAAGATAACGTGTTTTCCCTGAGAACTAGTTTAATTAAAGCATACCTTCGTCTTCTTTAAAACTGCAAGCTTCGTTGTTTTAAGATTTTGAAAGTTTCTCTCTTGAAGTTTGTTCCTGTACGTCGTGGTGCCACTGACGAGTCGAGTGAACAGTTAACCTAAATTACACTGAAACTATATCTCATCTATATTTGACGGAATCTTGAAAAGGTTTCTTCAGAATGAGAGTACAGCGTACCTTTGTACTCAAGATTTCCAAGAATTTTAAGCGTCTTTACCATACTTTAGATTCTTCCTGTAAAATATACCTTCGGTAGACGCTGCCGAATTTTTCTTCTCTCAGAAGACTGCTGTAGTGCCGTCAGCTTTACATGCGTCTGCGATTTGTACATCCTGTGTTTGTCTTGACCTCTGAATTGCCTCCAAGGATTCAGCAAAAAGTACTTGACAAATCATACTACAAATTTCAAGTCATGGTTCCGAATAACGTTCTTGTGAGCATTAGATAGAAATCACTAAATTTATTTCAGAATTAATCGACATCACACAGCAGATGCGAAGGTACAAATTCTGTACACGATTTGCACTCATTCATCGAACATGAATAATAAGGCTTTCCGTGAATGCGCTCTTTTTGTCTGCACTGCCAAACTTCTCCTAGCTACCGACAAGAAGGGAACCTAGCAACATACATAATCTGCGGCGCGGAACTTTCCTCGCGGATGTTTGCGCGCTTCAAATGTGGAAATAACACGGCAATCATTAGAAAATCATAATCAAAGTGTAACTGAACTAGCTTGTCAACTGTGCACTCGTAATACTTCAGCTTCTTAGGACTGAAACTTTTGGTATCCTTTCCTGAACGCTTCGTAACACGAATAACGCTCTCATGCCCACGGAACGCTGGAATGTATGGCATGACATTAGTTTACCCAAAGCGTGGAGTGGTTAGCGGGGGGGGGGGGGAAGGAAGGGGAGAAGGGGGTATAGATTAGATACAAAATAAACGACTGATAACGAATGGCCAGTGCACAAAGTGAAGAAAGGGCAAAGTTGGGACGACAGGATTTCTTACCCAGATCCTGATCCTAAAATACGTACTGGTTTAAATGCCGCCTTCCCACCCCTCCCTCGTTGTGTGCAAGGCACGCAGGTTAGTAAATAATGGACAAAGTTCACTCGTGGTCGCATTTAATCACAAGATAGACTTCAAATATCGAGATGTGCTGCTTATAAACGTGCTTTTTCATATAGAAAAAAAGAAGACTTCTAACTTCTTGAAGGCTTTGATGCTTTTTTGTGTGGTTAGATTTAAGGTTACTTTACTTCATATACGACTCACTCGCTACTGTTATGTTCTTAATACTTTTTTACTCAGCTCAGCACAGCTACACTCCTAAAAAGTTAACTCTTCTATCCAATACTGTGTATACTCAGTTATTCCTTCTAATCTTTCCAGACGTAAGTCCACTGTACTTCATGCTACTGTACATTATCGTACTGTGCTCTATTCTACGACTCTACCATTTCTACTCTTCTCTTCCTTCCTCCTCACTTCTTCTCTCTTAGCCTGTTCCAGCCTCTCATCAGCGAAGACGAGCGAAAAAGCGAATACGCGAAAAATGGCGCGCGTGATAGCTTGCGGGCAAGCGGACATAATCTGCAGACGTCTTTCTAGTAACCGCAACCATCACGCCCCCCTTGCTTCAACACAGCGGTCCAACGTCTGCGCATGTGCGCATGTTGTAATTACTTTGTGGAGTGCTGTCAAAAACGAGTTACACATAGCTTCATATTCAAGAGAGTCGATTTGTTTGGCAACCGTCGTTCTTTTTCGGAAACCATTAAAACAGAAAGGTGAATCAACAGGATACCCGTACTTGAATAAGCTTCGTGTTCGAAAATTATCGAGTTTTCTTTTTCCCTACTTTTATTTCCTTCTACAGATTACGATGCACGTTTCAATTTTCTTTCGCTTATTTTGCGAGACAGGAGCTGTTTCTTATGTATTCCTTAGAAATTTTGCGCGGGAAAATGGCGCGCGGCCTGCCAGAATTGATCCCCTCGCGCACACCCGACGTTTGACCGCTGTGTTGCCTGCTTCCCGCTTTTCCCACACCCACTATTTCACGCATCTCCACTTACTAAGAGCCTAAAGCAAGCTAATTCTCTTCACACCCTGTCTTCAATCAGCCAAAAGTAGCTGCCATACTAACATGACTGACATCAGCCACCAACACATTAGTTTTCCAGGCGCTGCAGATTTAGTTGGACAATCTCCCAAAGACTTTGATTCATCTTCTTTCTCGTCACCAGGAGACCTGCCTAAACAAAGGTACTTCTTGTGAATTTTGGATAGCAACAGTTATAGTGGACAAACTACACAGGGTATGAGAGGAGAGACGAGGAATGGTGGGAAGCGGAGGAGTTGGAATTAAGTGAATGTGTAAGTACACTCCTCAGAGTTTTCTCTCCAAGAAGTGTTCCTACCATGAGACTAAAAGGCAAGAAAATAAATTTGTCATAATTTTGCCCAGAGACAAAAATGAAATACTTGTTTAAGATCACTGAAACTTTCGATTTATTGTGATATTTAAAATACCAACACTGGGAGAAGTGGAAAACACTCACGAACTAATGGAATTTTAAAGGATTATAATTACCGTATTTTCTCGAATAAGCGCTCACCCCTTAGGTCATAAATTGAAGTAACCGTCCCTCCCCTTCCTCACTTTCTTAAATAGTGGGGATGCAAGGAAAACCTGTTTCTGGTGCCATTTTATCTATAACTTTTTGAGCTTCAGTTCCCGAGTTTCTTTTCCGTTCCGGATATTTCCGTCTTCGTGCGCTTGTAGAATTCCTTTATGAGTTTTACCTGTTCTTTTGATTTTGATTTTGATTTTGATTTTTTGTCTTATAAAAGTGCTAACTTAATGAGCGCCCTCTTGGTAAAGCGACCTCCTACCAATAAGCGCCCCCCTCCCCATCACCCTTTTAGCCGAAATTTTATGAGCACCCAATCGTTTATTCAAGGAAATACGGTATTCACTTTTCCCAAATATGGGGGGAGGAGGGGAGGAGGGGGCGTACCCCCGCCAGCTAAGCTCGTGCGAAGGGTCATATCGCGCACTTTATCCCACGTGGTGAAACGACAATATTGCCCACTGGTTTTACGAATCTATTTAACCAATTTAAAACACGGACATTGCCTGAAAAACATTGGGCAAGCAGAGGAGTTTTGACTCTGATAATTAACTAGTCACACAAAAGTCAACCAAAATACAATGGAAAGCAAAACATTCATTCTCACCTTTTTCATCGACGTCTTGGTAATCATAACCGAACTCGAAAGACTTCTTGAACATCTGTTGGTGAGTGTAAACCGGAAACAACGGCACAATGACGTCATCTCTGTTGTGACCAATGGGTGCACCGTTAATAGATAGCACATTCGCATCCTTATTAAACTTCCGCAACCACTTTTCGTAGATACGATCCACAAACGCGTGATGAAGAGGAAAAATTGGGTCGTTTGATGCCGAAGGTACGTCCCCCATTTCTCCTCCAACAACTATGTGGACCTGGTTGTGCATGCCATGGACGTCAGAATGGTGACGACCAGTTTCGGCGCTGGCATAACCCTCTAGGATGTTTCTAAAACTGCAGCTAGAACTTTTGCTGTAGGGTTGGAGGTCAAAGGTTTCAAAACGGAGCGCGAAGTTGACTTCTGTTTTTGTTGGAAATGTCATAGTATATCCTTCTCCTTTTTTCTTCTCCTTCTCATCATCTGTGTTCCGTTTCAATCCATTTCTTGTTATGGTGGGGTTACACGGCTTTGTTAGTTGTTGGGTTTGTTTGCCGGTGCAAAGGACGTACCAGTCATTCAAGTATTTGCCCCTCACAATGCCAGTAGTTTGGTCCGTTACGCCAAGGAGCTCTTCAGAGCAAACTGCGGGGTCGCATCCAGTGGGATTCCCGGTCCAGTCCCAGAAAGGGAGGGCAAATTCTTCATCGTTTCCAATTTCCTGCAAGGTTCTCTCCCATGCTAACAAGTACAACCGATGCCATGAGGGAAATCCCTGACCATCGTGTGCGAAGTCGATATCAGATTCAGTGATATCATGAGGTAAAATGGTGTCACTTGCAGCATAGTAATGCATCCACGTGAACAAGTCATAGTAAGTGACATTATAAAAGAAGGACTTTGGGTCGCCACCCTCCATAACGGTTTTTTTTATCTCCTTGTAAGGAGTAGACGTAACCACGAAGTCACTTACATAGTGCTTGGACATGTCGACGTATTTCATGTATCGATCTTTCTCCTCGGTTGTCAGGCTCAGAAAATTTCTTCGTATCAAATTTTTCTTCTGCGTGCAGGTACTGCCATAGAAGCCAAACGCGCATTTGCTGCAATCGTAACCTGCATAGTTTGCGTTGCATTTGCAGACTTTGTGGTAAAGACCATGCGGCCAGTTGTGTCTCTCGTCCTCCATCTGGAACGGCCGGTAATGGCTGTACTTAGATGTCCAATCGTGGGTGGTCAATTCATGGCACTGTCCTCTGTCTCCATCGGAACCACAGTGTATGGTGAAGCCTTTAGGGGTAGGACAACATTTCTTGTCTCTCAGACTGTCCCGGTCAGTGCAGACTCTGGGAAACTGGCCTTCAACCCAGGGTAAAGTGACGACAACAAAGACAAGGTATGCGATGATGGGGTAACCCATTTTATGATCGACTCCCTGAAAGATAAAATTTAGGTCTTGTTGTTATCTGTCCTTCGAGTTTAGACGTTCAACAATTATGTGAAACATAATAATAGTAATGACAATAATGATAAGAATTATAATAATGATGATGATGATGATGATAATAAATGAAAATTATTTTCTTTAAACCTCGCTAAGCCAGGGAAAAAAGGTTAATTATTTTATACATTTCCTTTTGAATTTTATCTCACTAAAGCCCGAAGTTAATTGATCCATCCTGCAATGACTGCATGTGTTTCCAATCTTTAGGGCTACATGACCCTAAAAATGATTTAACACTGTGGATTGCTAGTTTTTAGAGTCTGGAAAGGACCGGATGTCATCAAAACCTTTGCTTCTTGAATAAATGTTTCTTTTTTATCAGTTTTTATGTCACAAACGGTTGGATTATGCATCTCGAAAAATTCCACCTGTACTCTTTATTATTCTGGTTCTGTTATTGTTTATGCTATAAGTTTATTCGTCGCATGAAAATCCTTACAACAACGAGCCGTAATTTAGAATTCGCTTTATCTCAAGAACTTAGCAATCATAACCAACTTAATTTAACTGTTTGTGATTTTGAAGGTAACAACTGTTCAGATCCAAAATCTTCGATTTTATTCCTTTCAAGTGAATCGGGATCTACATTTCCCGAAACTTACCTCCCAGTTCTCACTACGCAATTGTTATTCACATTCTGCGAATTAGTCACGCAGTATATCCAGACTACCTAACAAACGAGGTTAAGATGATATGAATTTTCTTAAAGTCATACGGGTTATCACTGTACGCTTGAAACATATCCTGTTTCTCTGTTGTCTCTTTGATCTAGTTCTAACGCTTATTTGGCAACGAATCCATCCTCGAAAATATTTACCAGAAGGTTTAAACTTCTAAATCCATTGCTGCTCGCTTGAGAAACTGATTTTCTTCACAACGTTATTGGAAATGAGCGGCTTTTCTGACGCAAAATATCTGCGACTCGAATTAAAAGAAAATTTCATCAGGTCCTCAGCTTACAAAACCACATAATTGACGGCGATGCCACTGGATTTAATTTATAAAATGGGTCAACTTTCCTAGAAAGCATTCCGTAAGTATATACTGCATGTCTTGCTAGTAAATATAAATTTCGGCCCAAATTTAAACTTTATTGCGTAAGACCAATTCGCTGCTTTTTCATGAAAGCCTCCTCCGATTTTAGTCAGAGCCTCTTTCTCTATTTAGAAGCAACTCCCGAAAATTACGTACCGAGACTCGAAAGCAATCCGAGATCGGCCTACAACAAAAGCATGCGCATTTCTGGTGAGGACTTTGACGAACTGAACTTAGTTTGATCATCAGATGTTTGAGACATGTGCATCGAGTAGAATCCGCACTCTGTTTATTGAATAGTCATCGTTTAAAATGTACCTCGGAAATTTGGTGGTTTTTACACTATATTTTTCGTCTTGACTTCCCAATTAACTCCAAGGATTCAGCAAACGTACTTGTCAAACTTCGAATTCCCACCAGGATTCAGCAAGCATACTTTACAAACTGCATTACTTCTGCCTTCATGCTACAAATTTCTAGTTGAGGCACGGAATAAAATCCTATCGAGCATTAGATAGAAATACCTAAATTCATTTCAGAATTAAGTTTTATTACACAGCTGATGCGAAGGTACAAAATCTCTACACGGTTTTTACTCGTTGATCGAACATAAATAATAAGGCTTTTCATGAATGCACTCTTTTTGTCTGCACTGCTGTATGATTACACAATCAGTCTGTGTCATTCAGGTGTTAGTTGCTTGAAGGTTTCACAAAACTGCAACATGGTGACGTGTTTAGTTCATTGAAAATCTCTCCTAACTTCTCTTAGCTACCGACAAGAAGAGAACCTAGCAACATACAAAATCCGCGGCGTGGAACTTCCTTCGCCGAATTAAAATCTTTGTGCGTTTCAAACGTGGAACTAACACGGCATTCATAAGGAAAACAAGATCAAAGTGTACCTGATCGACTAGATTGTTAACTGTGCACTCGTAATGCTTTAGTTTCTTAGGACTGAAACTTTTGGTGTCCTTTCCTTAACACTTCTTGAAACGAATAACGCGCAAACGCCCATGGAACGCTGGAATATATCGCGTTATTTTAGTTTACCCAGTGAGGAGTTAGGAATGCTTCATCGGTCAGCTAGCTTCATTGTTCGGCATGTTTTGATCTCAATATTTGTTAGAATTCTAAGCGTCTTTACTAGACTTTAGAGTCTCCCTGTAAAATATATCGGCGGTAGACGCTACTAACTTTTTCTTCTCTCAGAAGACTGCTGCATTGCCGTCAGTTTTGCATGCGTCGGCAATTTGTACATTTTATGTTTCTTCTTGACCTTCGAAATGCCTCCAAGGATTCAGCAAACAGACTTGTCAAATTGCATTATTTCTGTCTTCATACTACAAATTTTAAGTCAAAGCGCGGAATAACATCCCAGCAAGCATCAGATAGAAATCACTAAATTTATTTTAGAATGAATCGACATGACACAGCAGATGCGAAGGTACAACATCTCTACACGGTTTCATTCATTGTTCGAACATGAATAATGTAGCTTTCCGGGAATGCGCTATTTTTGTCTGCACTGCTGTATGAATATATAATTAGTCTGTGACATTCAGGTGTTTGTTGCTTGAAGGTTTCACAAAACTGTAACATGATGACGAGTTAAGTGAAATATATCTTCGGTAGATGCTGCAAACTTCACTCAGAAGACTTCTGCAGTGCCTTCAGCTTTGCATGCGTCGGCGATTTGTATACCATGTGTTTTCTCTTGACCTTCGAATTACCTCCAGGATTCAACAAACATACTTGTCAAACTGCATAATTTCTGTCTTCAAACTATAAATTTCAACTCAAGGTAAAGAATAACAGCCTAGCGAGCATTAGATAGAAATACCTAAATTCATTTCAGAATTGACCGATATCACACGGCAGATGCGAAGGTACAAAGTCTCTACACGGTTTTTACTCGTTGACCGAAAATAAATAATAAGGCTTTCCGTGAACTTTCCTCGCCAAATTAAAATCTTCGTGTGTTTCAAACGTGGAACTAACACGGCATTCATAAGGAAAACAAGATCAAAGTGTACCTGATCGACTAGATTGTTAACTGTGCACTCGTAATGCTTTAGTTACTTAGGACTGAAACTTTTGGTATTCTTTCCTGAACACTTCTTGAACCGAATAACGCGCCAGCGCCCACGGAACGCTGGAATATATCGCGTTATTTTAGTTTACCCAGTGGGGAGTTAGGAATGCTTCATCGGTCAGCTAGCTTCATTGTTCGGCATGTTTTGATCTCAATATTTGTTAGAATTCTAAGCGTCTTTACTAGACTTTAGAGTCTCCTTGTAAAATGTATCTTCGGTAGACGCTGCTAACTTTTTCTTCTTCTTCTTCTCTTCTTTTGTTGTCTGAATATATATGTACGAATATACAATAAGTCTGTGACCAGGTGTTAGTTGCTTGAAGGTAAACTGTAACATGATGACGAGTAAAGTTAAAAATGTATATTTGGCAGACGCTGCAAACTTTTTTCTATCGGAATACTGCTGTAGTGCCTTCAGCTTTGCATGCGTCAGCGATTTGTACTCCGTGTGTTTTCTCTTGACCTTCGAATTGCCTCCAGGATTCGGCAAGCATACTTTACAAACTGCATAACTTCTGCCTTCATACTATAAATTTCAAGTCGAGGTACGGAATAAAATCCTATCGAGCATTAGATAGAAATACCTAAATTCATTTCAGAATTAAGTTTTATTACACAGCAGATGCAAAGGTACAAAGTCTCTACACGGTTTTTACTCGTTGATCGAACATAAATAATAAGGCTTTCGGTGAATGCGCCCTTTTTGTCAGCACTGCTGTGTGAATACACAATCAGTCTGTGTCATTCAGGTGTTAGTTGCTTGAAGGTTTCACGAAACTGTAACATGGTGACGTGTTTAGTTCATTGAAAATCTCTCCTAACTTCTCCTAGCTACCGACAAGAAGAGAACCTAGCAACATACAAAATCCGCGGCGTGGAACTTCCCTCGCTAAATTAAAATCTTCGTGTGTTTCAAACGTGGAACTAATGGGGCATTCATAAGGAAAACAAGATCAAAGTGGACCTAAAAGACTAGATTGTTAACTGTGCACTCGTAATGCTTTAATTAATTAGGACTGAAACTTTTGGTATTCTTTCCTGAACACTTCTTGAACCGAATAACGCGCCAGCGCCCACGGAACGCTGGAATATATCACGTTATTTCAGTTTACCCAGTGGGTGGTTAGGAATGCTACTTCGGTCAGCTAGCTTCATTGTTCGGCATGCTTTGTTCTCATGAAATTTTAAGATTCCAAGCGTCTTTACTAGACTTTGGAGTCTCCATGTAAAATATATCTTCGGTAGACGCCGCTAACTTTTTCTTCTCTCAGGAGACTTCCGTAGTGCCGTCAGCTTTGCATGCGTCTGCGATTTGTACACTATATGTTTCGTCTTTAATCCGAATTGCCACCAAGGATTTGGTAAACGTACTTGTCAAACTGCATTATTTCTGTCTTCATTCTACAAATTTCAAGTAAAGGTGCGGAATAACATCCTAGCGAGCATCAGATAGAAATCACTAAATTTATTTCACAATTAATCGACATGACACAGCAGATGCGAAGGCACATCTCTACACGGTTGCACTCGTTGTTCGAACATGAATAATGTAGCTTTCCGGGAATGCGCTATTTTTGTCTGCACTGCTGTATGAATATATAATTATTCTGTGACTAGGTATTAGTTGCTTGAAGGTTTCACAAAACTGTAACATGGTGTTGAGTAAAGTGAAACATATCTTCGGTAGACGCTGCAAACTTTTTTTCTGTCAGAACACTACTGTAGTGCCTTCAGCTTTGCATGCGTCGGCGATTTGTACACTGTGTTTTGTTTTGAGCTCCAAATTGCCTCCAGGATTCAGTGAACATACTTTACGGCAAACTGCATTACTTCTTTCTTCATACTACAAATTTCAAGTCAGGGTGTGGAATAACATCCTAGCGAGCATTAGATAGAAATCACTAAATTCATTTCAGAATTAATCGACATCACGCAGCAGATGTGAAGGTACACTCGTTGATCGAACATAAATAGTAAGGCTTTCCGGGAATGCGCTCTTTTTATCATGCACGCGTATTTCTGGTAAGGACTTTGACGAACTGAACATAGTTTGATCATCGAATGTTTGAGACATGTGGATCGAGTACAATCCGCATTCTGTTTCTTGGATAATCTTCGTTTAAAATGTACCTTGAACATTATTACAACAAGAGCAGTACATAAATCCTTTGTAGCGATCATCTTATGAGCGCCTCTTGATTAAGATTGGAGCGTCGAGGTAAGACTACGTGTCTTCCTTGAGATCGAGTTTAATTAATGCATACCTTCGTCTTCTTTAAAACTGCAAGCTTCGTTGTTCTTAAGATTTTGAAAGTTTCTCCTCTTAAAGTTTGTTCCTGTTCGTCGGGGTGCGATTGAAAAGTCGATTGAACAGTAAAACTAAATTACAATGAAACTCTATCTCTCATCTATTTTGATGGATTCTTAGAAAAGGTTTCCTCAAAATGAGAGTGCAGCGTACCTTTGCACTCAAGATTTCTTAAAACTCTAAGCGTCTTTATTAGACTCAAGAATCTCCTTGTAAAAGATACCTTCCGAATTTTTCGTCTCTCAGAAGACTGCTGTAGTACCGTCAACTTTGCATGCGTCGGCGATTTGTACACAATGTGTTTTGTGTAGACCTCTGAATCGCTTCCAAGAATTCAGCAAACATACTTAACGAACTACATTATTTTATTCTACAAATTTCAAGTCAAGGCACGAAATAACATCCTAGCGAGCATTAGATAGAGATCACTAAATTTATTTCAGAATTAATCGACATCACACTGCAGATACGAAGGTACAAAGTCTCTACACGGTTTTCACTCATTGATCGAACATAAATAATAAAGCTTTCCGTGAATGTGATCTTTTTGTCTGCACTGCTGTATGAATACACAATCAGTCTGTGTCATTCAGGTGTTAGTTGCTTGAAGGTTTCACAAAACTGTAACATGGTGACGTGTTTAGTTCGTTGAAAATCTCTCCTAACTTCTCCTAGCTACCGACAAGAAGAGAACCTAGCAACATACAAAATCCGCGGCGCGGAACTTCCCTCGCCAAATTAAAATCTTTGCACTTTTCAAACGTGGAACTAATACGGCATTCATAAGGAAAACAAGAACAAAGTGTACCTGATCGACTAGCTTGTTAACTGTGCACTCGTAATCCTTCAGTTTCTTAGGATTGAAACTTTTAGTATCCTTTTCTGAACACTTCTTGAACCGAATAACGCGCCAACGCCCACGGAATGCTGGAACAGATCGAATTATTTTAGTTTACCCAGTGGGGAGTTAGGAATACTTCTTCGGTCAGCTGGCTTCATTGTTCGGCATGTTTTGTTCTCAAGATTTCTTAGAATTCTAAGCGTCTTTATTAGACTTTAGAGTCTCCCTGTAAAATATATCTTTGGTAGACGCCTCTTTTTCTTCTCTTATGAGATTGCTGTAGTACCGTCAGCTTTGCATGCGTCGGCGATTTGTACACTGTATGTTTCGTCTTTAATCCGAATTGCCACCAAGGATTCAGCAAACGTACTTGTCAACTGCGTTATTTCTGTCTTCATGCTACAAATTTCAAGTCAAGGTGCGGAATAACATCCCAGTGAGCATCAGATAGAAATCACTAAAAATTATTTCAAAATTAATCGGCACCACACAACAGATACGAAGGTATAACATCTCTACAAGGTTTGCACTCATTGTTCGAATATGAAATACATAGCTTTCTGGAAATGCGCTATTTTTTGTCTTCACTGCTGTACGAACATGTGTAACATGGTGACGGGTAAAGTTAAATATATCTTCGGTAGACGCTGCAAACTTTTTTTTCTGTCAGAAGACTGATGTAGTTATTTCAGTTTTGCATGCGTCGGCGATTTGTACACTTTGTTTTGTTTTGAGCTCCGAATTGCCTCCAGTATTCAGCAAACATACTTTACAAACTGCATTATTTCTGTCTT